CTGCCGCTGCACCTCCCTCCTCTGGCTGCTTTGACAACCCCAGCCCGGGACCGTCGGCACGCCATCCTCCCGCCGAAGTACTCGACCATATCGGCTGCCGTTTCCTTTCAACTAAAAGTCATCCCCGCTCCACTCACCGTTCTGCGTCTTTGATGGCAAGTTGGGTGGACTGAGCGCCTCCAGAGGGCTGGACGGCTCCGAGCAGGACGGCGTCATGGGCTGTTCCTGCTTGACGCACACGCTGCAACAGAGCATAAAAAATAATTGATTAGTCAGGTGTTGAGGCAGCTCAACCAAAAGCAAGAACGCCCGAGCTGTTTTCGATTCTGCATGAACCTGTTCGAAAGAACCATTCCGTTAAGGCCTCATGAACTAAGGTCAACTAAGGTAGTAAACGGCCGAAGTCCTTAGGTCCTTACCCAACACAGGATATCTTATTTGAATCTTTCACTACTCCCCTACAATTAAGTCCAAATGTATTCGTGGTTTAAACATAACGTCTGCAGGCGTACTACACCCCCCCTCCCCCACGGGGGCCATGCCATGGGGTGGCTGGGGGCTGGGGGCAGCTCGGGAAACAACAACCCCTTCTCCCGCACTGCCGCGGCCACCGCGCCCCCTAATGTGGCAACGCTGCTCTGCGCCACGCCACGCCACGATCCGCGCCCCCCAATGAGCCTGGCCCGTCATGCTGCTCCCGCTGCTGATTTGAATGCGCCTTTCGGATGGACCCCAGACCGGACGGGATTGGTTGGTTATGCGAGCCGTCGGCTGTCCTATTATTGATTGTCGCACATATTCAGCAACAACTAACCGACAACAGAGCAAGAACAAGCTTTTCTTGCTAGGGAAGGGTTTGGCGGGGAAGAGGGGGGTTCGGCCGAGGGTTCGTCTCGCACGCCTTCTGACGGCGTCCAGCGCCCTCTCGAGCGCCCGAGCGCCAGATTCAATATTTCATAGATAAAGTCAGGGGTCGGTTTTCAAACAGTTGGGCCCCGTAGAGCGAGGGTGGCGCCTAGTTTGTTTCCAGGCAGCCAACTTTGGGAACACGAGACTGCGCTTAGAAACCTGACTGAATGGAAACTAGGACAAACTCCAAACTCGGGGCATTCTGCTATAACAAGTTTTCAAGCTGTGCGTGGTATTTGAAACCAGACTACTAGAAAAACAAGGAAGAGAACAATTCTAAATTCGCCCTCTACCTTAATTTTTTTCTAGGCAGTTTCACCCCTTTAAACTGCAGCGGAGGAGCGCATTCGTACTCTTCGCCGCGAGACCCTCATATCCTCCGTGTGCTGAGGGTTGCCCACACTCAGGACCCAGTTCAGCGAACTGCCTACCATAATCCCGACGGGGAAGGGAGGGGGGCCTGGGACCCAACATATATCAAATGAGTGTCTAGCTTCCCTTTTTGATTATCAGCCGATCGATGAGGGGGGGGGCATACATGGAAGCAGAGGAGGTTCTTATGGACGAATAATTCAACTCTGCCTGTCGCTCTACATAGCCTAGGACCGCCTGCGACATATGCCTCGAACGACAGATTTTATCGGAAAACGTCCAACACTCTCTCAATTCCTTTGGAACTTTTGCGTTGGTGTCGCGAATGGTTATGTGTCTCATAACAAAGTGTGACGGAATTTATCTTTGCCCAAATGGAGCGGTATCGAGCGACATCCATTTTTCCGTCGCCCCATTTAAGTGATGATTATGGAAGCATCACTCCATGATGAGTGGCTGTATTGGATCATCGCTCCTTTTGAGCGACGACAGCCGTCGTCGTCATAGAAGGAAGGGCAATAATGTTCGCATGCGTCGCTCTTCCAGGAGAAACGAAAAAACGAAACAATTCACAATTCATCGCTCCTCCAAGAGCGACGCACGTGACTCCTGCATTTTCAGAGCACTGTCGTGAAGGTAAGTTAGTACCGGCAGGGTCCAGCTGCCACCAGACACTTTGCGTTTTGGCTTCGTGGGCCGGCCCTCGCCGGCTCCTCCGCCTTACAACAATCTCCCGAATAAATCATCACCGCCAGGAAGTGGGACGCGGCACGGCGTGTGCCGTGCATGCTTGGATGATATTGATCGACACGGCGCCACGCCACGCCACGCTACGCGGCGCCCCTCGTTTGGTGGTGCTGCTTCTCGAGTCCGTTTGTGCGCCGGGGTGCTATGGAGCAGCCACCGTGCGAACAATAATACTTCTTTTACAAAAATGTATATCTCGCTGCAAAGATTTGTGGTTGTTTGAAGTCGAAATGTGGAAATGGGAAACGGTGCCCAAACACGTCCGCCGGCCACACCCACACACTCGAGGATCCGCCCTGTGCTATGTAGAGAGTGAGGGAAAGGGAGGGGGGCGGACTTTGCCCTCTGGTAGAGACAGTCTTGGGGAGTGTCTAAAAACCCTGCTTCAGCCCGCAGCAGTCAGGTCGACGGGAAAAGAGAGAGATGATCCAGGGCAGCTGCGCGCGGTTCTGGAGCGCCTGGCGGATAGTAACCGGATTTTAACCAAACCTCAGCCGATCTCGCCATTTCGAAACAATGTGTGGTTCCTCCTATAATAGATGAACACCTGAATACACTTACTGTTACCAACGCGGCTCAGCTGGGCTGTCGCGGTCCGTGGTCGCCCCCTCCCCCCTCCTCGCCCTTATACCGGCGTGTAACCGGGGGCCCCGCCGGCCAACCACGGACCGTGATAGCCGTGAAGGTGAGAAAGCACGTGGATTGTTTGGGAAGTGAGATATGTAAAACAAATACCTCAAAGAGAGGATAAAAGTGAACCGCAGAGCAGCCATCGATCTCAGCGAATGTCTGTGTTCGCGTACTTCCACGAGGAAAGCAAGCAGTAGCACAGCACGCCTCTCTGAAGACGGGTGAACTACAAGTCGTGCATCTACATCGGTAAGCTGTCATTCATAATCACTTAAGAGGATCGTGAATAGTCTATAGAAGAAGAGATGAGCGGACAGGCCAGTTCGAATTGGAACAAACTCGAACAAATTTAGTCTAAAAATCTTCGAAAATGTTACGATACGATTCATGGAAATTTTCCCCCGTAAAACCTACAACAGTTTTTAACAGTGGCTGCTGAGATGGCGGTCGCCGTGAAGGCCTTGCTGGCCTCGCTGTTGCTGGACGCCGCGCTGGCCTCGCTCTTGGGCATTGACTCCATCATCCCAGCGGTCCCGGCGGTCCCAACGGTGGGCCCCGAGTGGATCGTTGACTTGGCCAAGGCGCCTCTCACTGGCCTTAAAGCAGCGGTGTCCAGGGACTTCGACCCCCTGATGGACCTGGATCCGGTGAGCGGCCGGAGGGCGACATCTGTTCCGAGGGGAGCACGAATGGGTAGTATTGAGTCGACGACTAAAACGCCCGCCGATGTGCAGGTGGAGCTCTCGCGGTATTGGGGCTACGACGCGGAGCTGCATCACGTGACCACGGACGATGGCTACATCCTGGGCATCCATCGCGTCAGGAACGCCACGGTTGCTAGTGAGGCCTCGGGTGCGACGCAACCCGTCGTCGTCATGGGGCACCCTCTGCTGTCCAGCTCAGCCGAGTATCTCGTCCTCGGCCCCGGCAAGGCGCTAGGTGAGCAAAAACCTTGGCAAAACCAAAGAAGTAAAAGTATCGACTCCATATGGCACGAGAAAATAAATTTCCATTCCTTGATATTCCTCCACTTTTCGCAATCTGGAACAGCGTACCTGCTGGCCGATGAGGGCTTCGACGTGTGGCTGCTGAACGTGCGCGGGAACACCTACTCGCTGAACCACACGACGCTCAGCACCAAGGAGGCCGCCTTCTGGGACTTTTCGTGAGCAAATATTTTAGTCGGCTACCCGAGTGCAATAGTGTGTATTCTGACGGTATACGTTGTACGCCTCAGGTTCCACGAGCACGGCACGCAGGACCTGCCGGCGCTGATCCAGTACGCGATGCAAGAGACGGGCCAGCAGGAGGTGCAGTACGTGGGCTTCTCCATGGGCACCACCACCATGTTCGTCATGGGCGCTGAACGCCCCGACGTGGCCAAGCACGTCAAGCTGTACACCGGATTCGGCCCGGTCGCCGAGGGCAGCCACGCCCGATCCGCTGCCTTCCGCCTCCTGCTCCAGTCCATCCCGGCGCAAAAGGTCGGACGCCCGCGGGTCCTTCTGTTTCATTGGCCTCCCTCAGAAATGTTGATCGTTGATTCGGTCGCAACAGCTGGCCGGGGCCCCGCTGGGCGTGTACTGGTTCCTGCCGAGCACGCCCGAGCTGCGCGCGACCGGGCAGACCCTCTGTGCCGACAGCGCTCCGCTCACCCAGCCCCTGTGCTTGGCCATCTTCGCCTCCCTGGGCGGCCGCAACGACAAGCAGACCAACACGGTAAGGACGAGAAGCTTGACCCGGAGCAGACTGTTCAGCATGTAGGCGAGTGGACGCGTTGCCTACTCTCAAGCTACGCAAGGCGAAAGGGGCTAGCCGGTAGGAAAGCACGTCCACACGGCTGCATGCAGTACCGGGTGATTCAGAGAAGACGCAGGTGCGGGCGGGTTTGTCTATCCTCGACTCGGCGGGCGCACGGGTCCCCTCCTCACCTCTCCCCAGACCTGGACCCGTGCGCCCGCCGAGTCGAGGATAGGCAAACCCGCTCGCACCTGCGTCTTCTCTGAATCACCCGGTACAGTATAATTCTCAAAATTTTACAGAACCGGTGAGCCATCCTTTTTAAAAAATGAAGATGATTGGGTCTCTTTGTAATATTTTGTTTGTTGTTCAATCCAGACGCTGCTGCCGTACATCCTTTCGCGGACCCCGGCCGGAACGTCGTTCAAAGTTTTGGACCACTATAGACAGGGCCTCGTACCCGGTATGGTGATGGCAGTTCTGTCGTATACTCTATGAGTCCGCCCACGTTGACTGAGTCTGTTTGTTATGTCGTTCAACTGACTACAGGCTTCCATAAGTACGATTACGGGACAATCCAGAACCTGGCGCGTTACGGTCAGCTGACAGCGCCCAGCTACAACCTGAGCAACATCTTCGTCCCCACCAGGCTATACTACGGGCCGAATGACCTGCTGGCAGGCCCGCAGGTAAGCAGGGGGGGGGGGGTGTTAGTTTGACTTGACTAACAGCGGGGAGTCTGTTGGCCCAAGGTTTTTGCCTGGCAGTGATAACTGCGAATAGGGTATTCCAATGGAGCGCAGAGCGGTAGTAAGAAGAACAAAAACGGAAGGTGAAAAGGTGATCGTGCCGTCCCCCTCTCCTCTATATCGCGGAGTGGGGGAGCGCCCGGGGAGAAGTGGAGGGCAGGCGTGGAGGAGTGCAGGCGCCTTTCCATCTTCCGTTTTTGTTCTTTCTTACTTCCGCTCCGCGCTCCATTGGAATACCCTATACGCTACGGGCAGTATTTATCCAATACAATACCAAATATGAGCCTCGCGCCAACATGTGAGCGATTTTATGATCCGCCTGAAGAGCAACACGTCAAATGACAACTTATTTCAGCATCATGAACTCTTAGAGCGATAATTTTACTAACTCGTTGGCAGGGTTGGGAACGTTACTTTTAAAAAGTAACGGATAACGTTGACGTTGATCGGGCCCAAAAGTAACGCGTTTCGTTTACGTTACCGGTCCTTATTAACGTAACGCGTTATCGTTAACCGCAACGAGTTAACGGCGTTAACGTTAAATTTATTTCAAGGATCCCCTCGTGCTAGACTAATTATTACCTCCTCGTTTGGTGGTGCTGCTTCTCGAGTCCGTTTGT